TCACTTCTCTAAGAGGAGAAAAAAAGGAGAACTAGTGAAAATCTATGTATCTATGCTCATGGTTAAAGCTGACTGAAGAAGCTGCTGAAATTCCTCTTATGGGATTTTCGACATGTTAGAACAACTTATCTGATGCTGCCTCCCCTACCCCCACCCCCCAGTCTCATGTTGCCATCAGTAAGTCATGTTTTAGAGTGCCAAAACAAAAATAAAAGTGACATAAACACTCATCAAATTACTGCAGCTTCTAGAATAAGTCTCTCCTGAAGGGGAACTCCAATGGCACTTTCCAGTGACTGTTAATTTTCAGAAAGCTGCTCCGACTATTCCATTGGAATCCTCTTTCCTAGGGCCTCCCTGATGGCACAGGGGTTAAAGGCAGCTCCATCAAAGTATAGCCGGCCACTGCATCATGAGCTCAATCCCCCGGCAGGGAGCTGATCCACGTGAAACAGCAGACCTGACTCCTGTCTCACCCGCTGCTCCCCTCAGCAGTGTAGTTCAGTAGATCTGCCTGTTCTGCTTCATACTCTGTCTCTGGTGAATTCTCTCATCCCCCACACCTCTGGCCTATACCCCAGTTCTTGTATACATAAATAAAATCTTAAAACTAAAAGAAATCCTCCTTCCTAAAAGTTCAGTCACTGCCTATGCTGTGATGAGTTGAAACGTCAATGAGCATCTGAAATATTCAGAGCCTCCCTCTGCAAACGGGAGTCTGACTCTCATAGTATATGGCCCAAGAACCAGCATCAATTACCTCATTCGCAGAATTTCAGGGCCCACTCCAGACCTCTGGAATGAAAGTCTACTTGTGAACAAGATCTGTAGGTAATGTCTGTGTACATTAATTTAGAAGACTATTCACTCCTAGTAGGCCTTTCTTTCCCATCACTAGGAAACCCTAATTCTTCTAGCAATTCATCAGAAGGCCAATTTAGAAATATTAGATTTTTTCTATGGACTCCTCGTAGGATGTGCTTACTTAATCTTTGAAAAATAGATGACAAGAACAGTCTGTCTGTTCTGCTCCCCACTCTGTCTTTGGTGAAACCTCTTACTCCTCTCATACATCTAGCCTATGCCCCAGCTCTTGTATGCATAAATAAATACATCTTTTTAAGTACTAGATGACAAGGAGAGTGGTTCACACTTTCATAATAGTTGGCATTGGCCAATTAAGATCCAAACAATGCAGATTCCTTCATTCCATGACATATGCTAAAATATAGCCAAAGAAAATTGCTTTCATTGACAACACACTTTGCAAGTTATGT